GGCTCGATGGTTGAGCAACTCTGTGACAATCTTTCGGAGTGCCGCCCCTTTGTTCTGCACTCCGGGCTCAGGTGGTGACAGCTACGGCGAGTGGCCCGCGCCTCGACACGGGTTTATGATTTAGATTCACGAGTACGGATAAGCAGTTGCAGACGACCGAAAAGTATCGACTTGATAGCAGACAGGGAATGAGAGGTTCCTGCAACTCAGTCTTTCGTGGAGGGCTAGCGTGTCGACCTGCGGTGTCAAACCTGGGCTGCAATTGTTGTGCTGCTGCTGCTGCTGCTGCTGCCGTCACTGCATGACACCGGAAGTTCACTTCGTCGAGGCTTTCACTGCCAAAGCAGAGCCATGTTACGGCCAGGTTTGGGAAAATATGCACATGAGTTTGTAGCGGGTCAAGTTTTGACAGCCGACTGATTGAGCTGGACGGCAACAGGTGGGACTGTATGCACATGCAATGTTCTGGTTGTTGCAGGCTCGTCTCAAAGTGTAATACTACATGTACTCCGGGTTGTCCCAGATCAACTGAGAGCATGTCAACATGTGTCAACAGCAAGCTGCGCGAGCGTGGTCGCGGAGGTATCATCCGTTTCCCTGTGGACTAGTCTCACGGAGTCTTAATCCCAAAAAGCTCAGGTGTGATTTGCCATTTTAGGCAAGTTTCATGTGGGCAGGTTGTTCGGGCAGCCTATGCCTCAACCTGCACTTTCCGAGACGCAGCATCCCAAAGCGAGCTTGCAACACGGGCCCAGGCGTCGCACCACACTCGGGGACGCAGCAGGCTCATGTTTCCCTGTGTCTTGTGCATCGGACTTCTTGTCAAAAGGGGGCGGACACGGGGCGGACTCGTTTTTGGTTTTGCTCTGGCTTTTTTAAGTGACGTTTGCAGCATGGCTGTTTGCTGTATGTGGCCAGGCCAACCCTAAAGCTTCACCCTCATTGCTAAAACAAGTCCTAAACCCTCCCCAAACCACCACCCCAACTCCTCCATGAACCCATCACACAGCGCCCCAAATTTATGTCTAAATTCACTCTAAACCCACCCACCACCCGTCTTAATCTCATCCCAGTCTACACCCCAATATCCAACCTGCCCTCAACCATACGAACTTTCCAAGAGCCCAAGCCCCAGCCCAAATCGGCCCCAAACTGGCCAAGTTTTCAAGAAGCAGCATGCCGACTCTCCAGAGACAAACAACACCTAAACAACAACAATCAATAAACAACACCTTTCCTGACGCTACTTGTAGTGAATTGAAAGGATTAGCGCCCACATAGAAGCACCCATGCATCTCAAGGGTATGATTTCAGCAGGGGATCCTCAACCCAAAAAGCAACCTGGAAGAGCACTTTTGGGGCCGTGCGTTCTTTCAGCTTTGGGCAGGATACGGACGGGCGTGGCTTCTTCATGCCTCAGCCTCAGATGGAGAAGCTCCCCAATGGGAGGAGCCGTTCGAATCAGAGACGACTGAAGCCCTTGCGATGGGCCTGTTCCATTTCAGGTTGGCTTGTTTTTGGCAAGGTGCAAGAAAGGGCTATGAATTTTGCCAGCTCGGCTCTTTAGGTATGTAGATCGCAAACTAGGTCTTTGAAAGACAGTCTTTGTGAAACAAGCAGGGTGCTGCTTGGCAGGTGGGTGGACATTGCGGCGCCCAATGCTCCATGCACATTGTAGCTTCTTGCGAGCCGTGGATTTAGGGCCTCAGTAGTATCATCATGCGCCTGCCTGCGAATCTCAAACCGGCCGCGTATGACTGAATGCCCGACAATTCTAGTGGCACATTCAGCTTGGGCTTGGCCGCGCTTGGTCTGCTGAGATGTCGCCTTTGTCCACGTCGAACCTGTGGCACTTGCTGCACCTCGGCAAATGACAAAGGCTTGGAATTATATTTATACCTGCTTCCCCGTAATGCAGGATGCTCGCCATCCAGTGCGAAAACAACTTGCCCGGGCACTTTGAGCATTCTTGCTATGATCCACGGTCAAGAGAGGACCTACGCATTTGCTGTGATCTCGGGATTCGGAAGTCGGAAAGTCGCCCGCCATTGATAGGCACATTTTGCTGCCGGCGCTGGCTGTGCTTGGGCGCCCGGCTACGCACGTTTTGCAGCTCGAGCCGGTGTGGGGTCAAGCTGCGGGCAGGTTGATGCCAGGACATGGCGAGATCAATTTTGGGCTTTTACCAACGTGAAGGCTCGATTCTGTGAGGGAGAGGTTGCCTTTGAGCCCAGGCATTTCCAGTTTTGGGTTTTTTCTTCGGCTCCTTCGAGCGACCAAGCAGTGTGCATGAGGTCCTGTACCAAAAGACATGTCCCTGGAAAACAGGCGACATGACATGAATATACTAGCGCTTTGTGCAAGCATCCTGTGAGTTCTGGTTTTAGCTGGTAGCTGTTTGTACGAGCGTTCCGTGCTCCCTGCCAAACCACTCTGGTGTTCTCGATGCGTAGCCGGTGAATAGCTTAATTGCTCTAGGTCTTGTAAGCTGATGCTGAGGGAGTGCCGCGTCACGTTCGGTCAACATTTCCAACCATCCTGCAATTTGGTTCCCAGGCGTGAAGAGGCGGGAGAGGGGGGAAAGAGACAGAGAAAGAGAGAACACGAGAGATATACATAATATATATATATATATCATGGGATGTGGCAACGTTTTGGCCCTTTCAGAGGCTTGGTCTTCTCTCAGCATCCAGTTATCATGCAAACTTGGTTTTGACACATGCTCAGCTGAAACCGCCTCCGAAGCATCCTGTATCATCTCGAGCTCCCTTACCTTGGCCCCATGAAGTATTCAGCAGCTCTCGACTCTGGAAGCAGAATGGCCACCAAGATGGCCACAGCAAGGGGGCACGAGGCATGTGAAATGATTTCCTTCAGGGGGAGGGCCTGGGCAACCCTTTCGGGGCGACACGTGAGTGTGCAAAGCGCATACCAGGGGAAGCCCATGGCAAGGTCCTGAAGAAAGACAGGAAGTCGTTCCACGTCTTCAAATTGGGGGAAGCGGCTTATGTTTGCCTCATGTCATTCAATTTCAACGGGTGGCAGCGCACCTCAAGGATCTCCGGATCTCGGGCTAACATCAAATATATGTTGTTCGTCACTGGACGTTTGGGGCAGACCCGATGGCCCAGTCCTTTGCCATTCACAGACTTGTGCAGCGATTCTTACAGCGAGCTGCTGGTTTGCAATTGGGGCTGGCCTTCCTCTATTTGCAATAGGCACTCAAAGCAGAATCCAAAGACGATCGGCCGAGAGTTGAAGGCACGAAAAGCACAACAATCATCCCCAGACCAAAAGGCTGCGAGATCGCACGGCCGCAAACAACCTGAACTGGAGGCCCCCCTGATTGTGGTACGCATCCGTGTTGACTCTTGGGCATGCACAATCCGTTTGGCTGGTCCCAGCTGCGAACCCTCTTTCTTCGGCAGTCCGTCAAGGTGATACTTATGTTTTCCTGTGGCCATTGCCATGCTTTTGCCCGTGCCAATGCCGAGACCAGTCCTAGTCTAAACTACTAGCAACTCAGAGTTCTTGTGAACCAATATCAGCCTTCAATCTCCTCACAGCAGAGGCTTGGGCCCCTTTCCCTTACCCACCCCTTCAGCGCGCAATTGCGCGCTAGGAGCGGGACTTGATCATTGATGGTCCCTCGCCTAGCTTGGGTGGTGTACACACAAGGTATGATCTCGAGAGAGGTGGAACCGCGTTTTGCATATTACTGCATGTGGTCCTTTGCTTGGAAAGGAAGAGGCTCACGCTTTGAGCAGCCACCACCGCTATGGTGATTTTTGGAATTCAATCCTTGGACCAGGGCACACGCACAAGCACAATCACATTCGACTTGTCGGAGTATCTCTCGGAAAGCTTTGCCGCAACTACAAACCTGGGGATAACTGGGGCGTGTGCAGCTATTGCAAGCCTTGCGAGAGATTGGCTGAGGCTCCTTGAATCTCATAGCGGTTTTGGTGCCTGGTCTTTGAGGGTCGCTCGGTTTCGGGCAATGCCAAACACAGAAGACCTTTTCAGAACACACAGTGGCCAATTTCAGACTTAGCTTGTTCAATACAGCGCCTGCTTCTCCTTTGCTCGTGCCTTCTTGGCTTTGCATTCCTGTCACGCATCTCGTGCCATGCTGGCAACCAAGGCTTGACTCTGCACAAAGCTTGGGTACCCAGTGGCTTGCATGGTCCTCAGTGCCCGCTGACCCTGGCTACTTGTCATTCGGCAGAGTAGGGTCGCCTCTCAACAGACTTCCATCTTTTTTTGTTGCGACCGCTGCCGCGAAGAAGATAATGCAGAAGTTCTCGGTCTCTACTTTTCGCCTTGGCTCACTGGTCTTGAAAGGGTGGGCGCATGGCCAATACATGCGTAGCATCAATCAGACCTATTGCGCACGAAAGCTTAGCACCACGAGATCTGGTTGAAATGGCAAGAGGCCAGGCAGGCAGTGATGACAAAAATAGCATGGCCTACTGACCAGGAAGTCACACCTTTGGCTTTGCAGTTGTCCGTCCGCAGCCATGGCAGACGACGATGATGAAGTACCACAGGGCGTCATCGCGCCTTTGCCCACAAAGCCACGACTTGCAGGACGTAGCAAAGCAGGGTAAATGTGATTAGGCACTGCATATATAAGTGAATGTTCACCCTTCGTCCGCGCAGGTCGCAGAGGTTGGTCACTGACCGGTTTACTACGGGGCTGCAACACATTCAATTGGACTTCAGGAACCATGACCAGGGCGCCAGATGGACAGAAAGTTGCGAGCAACGCCGCTGCAGATGCGTTCCCGCCCTTAACTGGGGGAACATGCGGGGCGGGCTGCGGATGATCTGAGGTGTGCGTGCGGCTTCGGCCTATGTTCGTCAAGAGGCCTGGGCACTGAGCAAAAGTCATTTGAGTTGTTCCTTTCCGAAAGTACCCATTGAGACCAAGGGAAGCTGCACGTGCAGATTGAATGCAAGGCTTTTTCGTTGACTAGCAGGCAGCACCTCATTGCAGCAAGGGCTTGCCCCCATGCCAAGCCAATTTGCAGGTATCCAATGGCAGTTTGATTGAAACCGTGACAAGGTGTCATGGATGAAAAGTAATGTCACGTGTAAAGCGGACAGAAGACTTGGTGAGGTCGACTTCATAGATGTGTTGCTTGTTTCTTTCTCTTGGTAGAAAGCCTGAGAGCTAGCACCAAGCGTTTAGGCTCGGCAAACAAATAGTTCGGGGTCAAACCACGTGGTAAGGAGCGTTCTCGGAAGCGCATGCTAACAGGTGCCACGAGAGCTTTGGACAACAGGTAGGCGCCTCAAGTCAGGTCGCTTAAGAGAAACCGCCTTATCTTTCTGCAATCATGCTTTGTTTGATTTTGCGCAGCCAAGCTCAGCCAGGCCGGATGGTACACCTGGCAGAGAGGCCACCTGCCAACGCGCCACTAGGCTTAAACAAGTGGGTGCTTGTGTGAGGGATGGGCATACCGTTGCGATTTGTGCTATTGCTAGCACTTAAGGTCAGTGCGCCCCTAATCTTCACTTGATCCAGCACCCCTGGGTTTGAGTCGTGGGCGTGGGGTTGGAAATGAAGGACAACATTGAATGGACCCTAGAAACTAACACGTGGCTCCTTTTCTCTCGGAATTGCATGGGGGTGGCTCTGGACTCGAAATGAATTGATCGAGATCAATCGTCAAGGGGCCGGAGCCGCCTTTTGGGAAAGGTAGTACAAAGCAAAGGCTATGTTGGTCTAGGCCATTGCTTGTCGAACTTTGAATCGGATTGCTCGATCAACTCCGCTAGCGTTTACGAACAGCTTGGGCGTTGCGGGTGGCGGTCATCAAGCAAACAACAGATTGTGTTACGTAACCTGGTAGCTTTAAGGAGTTGCAACCAGCGTTTGATTTTCTAAGGCGGGATAACTTAGTTATATCACCTAAGCATAAGCTTCATCGCTCTTGGCTATTTCGGTTTTCTGATTTGGAGGCGTGCGATTGCAAAGGTCTCAGAAAGCAAAGGCAACCCATTCGGCGGCAAGCTCCAGATGTGTAGCAATGGACAACTTCCCAACAGATGTCCAAGGTAAGCCACAGACAAATGGAGTTGCCAACTGTCCACTGCATGCATGCCATGCTCAAGATGCAAGGGTGGCAACTGCATTTGATCCCATTTCTCAAAGCTTCAGGTGGTCGAGATGGAAGGCACGGCTGAGAAAGGCGCTGGCTGCGCAGTGACCAAAATCTATGACCCAAATGTGCCTTGGCAACCAGGTCAGCACGACCCCACAGCCGCCCTGTACTTATTTAGACTTCCAATTCTACGTTTAGTATTCCCAACACCTAGTCTCAGGTTCCAGAACTCAGATAACCCCTGAACGTACAGGCCAAGGCTGCTGCCTATACCAACGCCCACAACCACACACAAAGATGCCATGAAACATGAACCCAAAACAGTCTCCTAGATCTAAGGCCTTTAGCTTTTGAGCTGGGAAGGACCTAGACAAACCACCCTTCAAGCGAAAAAGGACGAGGCTTTAATATGGTATTTGTTGCGTTTTTGCCAGGATTTGCTCTCAGAGAATAAGCAACGATGACCACCACACAGTCCCAGGATAGAGCCCCCCGTTTGAGTCACTCATGGTCCGAATGGTCATGACTTGTTTATGGCGGTCCATCCAACAGGGCGACGACCCTCCCAAAACACGCCAGACCTGCAGCGCACGAGACCAGTTTCATGGCCGGCTGGCGTTGCTGGTTTACTTTGCCACGTAAGCGTAAGAAGTCCAGCAGGAGAAGCGATTGAACTGCAGCTTGAGAACATGACTTGAAGGTATGCATGATTTATTTATTTGTGTCACCGCTTGTGGTGACTTTGCATTGGGGAGGGAATCCTCCACATGAACACTTAGATTCCGACCCCCACCCAAGCTAGCCCAACAGCTGCAGTGAGCATGCCTATTGCTTTGAAAGAATAATGCCTCATAGATCGCTTGTAGATGATGGCATTTATGGTGGTACGGTTGAAGGACCCGCTCCTTGTTCCACAACATATTGAATGCTGCCTGGATGTCAGCACGACTTGCGTATGCTGGGGCTCTACGCGGAGCGTAGGCCCTGAAAGTCTCCAGAGGTTTGACACAAAAAAGTGGCGAGTTGCAGCTGCAGGCCAGCTGGCTTGGAATGATGGAAGGCTTCTTGCATGGTGTGTAGACAGCACGTTTCGCTCCATGCCTCATTTGCCTTACTGACATTCATGGAGTATGTATATGGAACTTTGCCATACTCTCTTACCTAACACATGAAAAAGGACATCCGCAGTTGAACAGGAAAGGTGGTGGAAACTCAGTTGGCGTCCCTTTGTTGCCTGCTGCTTTGAAAGGGACCTTTTTCCTGAACATGGTCCAACGGAACCACTGCTTGGGCTCTATGCGACCCGAAACCCTTCTGCGGGCTGGCGTTGATTTGTGCTCATGAGAAGGGCTGTGACTTGGGCATGCAGCGAGGGGTATGGCTCGATCCTGGGATGACTTGACCAATCACACCCCATGAGCGACTGGTTTTCATCTCGCGGAAGTGATTGAGAGATGCGATTGGGTTTGCCTTTTTGTAGCTTTGCTTCAACCCTGCCAAAGCACAGACTCAGTCCCCAGAGCAAGACCAAAGCTCAATGGCCCATGGGCAACTCAGGACATGACTGCGGAGCCGCGGTCCTATGCCTTCGACCGGAGCTGGTGGAGCTGTGATGGCTCTATGGATGATCCTGACCGGCCTGGCTTCAGATCCTTGGAAGAAGCAACAATACACTCGAACACGAGCCATTTCGGAGAACTGTGATTCGAAAGAGGTTGTTCATTGGGGTTGCACGCCATTTGCAGGGATTGATCCATTCACACAGATAGGAATCCTTTGATTAGTGCGAAGCAAGAGCTCCTTTGGAGGGGTTTCCGGAGGGGCAACCACAGCGGCTGTCCAAATCTATTTCTTCGTTCATACTGACGATCCCTTTGACCTCAAGGAACAGTTTGTGCGAGTGACCCTAGTGCAACCTGTTCAATTTGATGACATAGCATTTTGCTGCGCTGGCGACTGCACATGCAGGCGAAGAGTTGTTCCCACACTCTCGTATTTGTGTTGAGTCAGGAATACCTGATGGCCCGAACTCCAAATATGCAACTTGGCTGCATGGCGCCTCGCACCTCAGCGCCAGCCTTTTCCTGCATGAGTGCGCTTTGCATGCTGTTTCGGGGATGAGACTTTGTGGACTTCCGGGACTGCTCGTTTGAAGTGTCAGCGAGCCATCCGTGATGCATGCGGATAGGAGCGAATTACGTGCCTTCTCCCGGCGAGATATTTCAGTTTTGTGCATGGCAGAATCAAAGGGGGGCTTCGGCCCCGTGGCCTGTTTAGTGCTGAGCTTAGGTTGACCAAGACATGGTTTGGAGTGACATCGGTCAAACCGTCATGAAGAATGCCCTCAAGGGGTACAACTGCACTGTGCCGCCAGGTGGCATTGGCAAGGGCATTTGCTCGGAATCCTCTCCCGATTGAGGCAGACTGTTTGTTTCGATTGGCGAATGTCGAATCTGGGTGGAGATATGACACGGGAAGCGCTCGTTACCCATGGAGCGCGAGGGCCAAATCGTGGTACGCCCGTTTTATTGCTTTGCCTCCCATGTAATTGTTTGTTTCAATTTCCTCATTGGAATGCTTGTGAAGTTGGTCAAGTTCTGGCAACTTGTGCAGAAGTCCTGTCTATCTCCTAAAAACGTAGTTCATTGGAACGCCATGTTCTGACGACGCTTGTGAACTGAGGTTTGCCTATGGCCAGTCAGGCTGTGGCAAATCCTACTCAGTCGTGGGTGATGCGCCGAACTGGGGCATTATCCCCCGGACAGTGAAAGCGGTCTTCGATGTAGTGGAGGGAAACACAAATCCGGATGTGAGGTACCATGCCCCCCGGATGCACTTATGGATAAAAAGCGAGGCAACCGAAGTTGCTGCCATGAGTTGTTGCGAAACTGGTCGGTCATGAATGTGTTCTAAATCCCCTCTCAGCCATGTGTTCGCATGCTTTACTGCTTCACTATCAAGTGCCGGCTAATACTATGCTTGCGCAGGGATAGTATAGGCTATGACATTAGATTGGACCAGGGTCGTGGAACTCAGTGTGGTCATGGGGCATTGTGTGCTGTGTGAGGTCGAAATCGCGATGGTGGAAGTTTACATGGATGAGGTGTATGACTTGCTGGAACCTCGAAAGAAGGAGCGGCAGAAGCTGAATGTTTTCAACAACAAGGGTGAAGCGCCTAGGCGAATACAGGTTGTTTAGTCGAAGCGGTCGAACAGAGGCCGCTGCCTTCCTTGATTTTGTCGTGTGATGTATTGCACTTATTTGATGATTCGCTGGCAAGGTATTCATCTATGATCCGAAGGATCGCAAGAACATGGACAAGATTTGGAGAGCTTGCAGCAACCATGATAAGGCTCAGCTGCTCGCTGTGCGGTGTGTGTGTGTGTGTGTGTCAGCTGTACGCTGGGGCTTTGCATGGGTTTACATGCTTCAAGCCGTACATCAACACATAATAGCAGTTTTATGAGGATCCGCTAGTCCTGAAGCCAACGCGCTCCAGGGAGGGCTCTTTCTCTTTTTTCTTGTTTTTCTTGTTTTTTTTTGGGGGGGGGGCATGTCAACACTTTCCCACGCTTACGCAGTGGCTTCACAGGGCTCTGACCATCAGTATCATGGTGCAGCACCATCCATTTGCTCCCCGGAGGGGTTGAATCACGACATGTCAACTTTGTATTTTTTGAAATTGCATTTCGACTCTGTTGCCGTTCGTTGTTCATGAGTTTGATGTAGTTTACCGATTGCCAGTTGGTTAGGCTCTTGAGAACAAACACGCATGCGCGGGGCAAATGTTGCTGTCGTGCAGCACGGTGTGCGGCATGCTGCTTTTTACTTTGAGGAGTGTCCAAGCCAACTAGTCACGAGGAACAATAACACAATTCCATGTTTGATGGCTTGGATCATGCAGCAGCGGGTGAAGTGTTTCTTTGGGCATATGGTGAAAAGTATACGTCGATGTTCTGCAGCAAAGCTTGACAGCACGATCCGCCCTGTCTAGTCTTGAAGTTGTAGATTTGCAGCACATACACGTTGTAAGGCAAGTGGATGGGGCCGTTTAGCCGCTTCGGTTGGTGTGTTTCTGGGGAAGAAGGGAGCAAGGGTTTGGGAAGTGAACTGGCAGCCGACGGCTAGATCGGCCCATGGTCAGATAGCTCAGATAGACAAGCTGACAGTGACTCGGAGTTCCTTCGTACATAAGTTGGCCCAAAAGCCAGGCGGAGTCGTTTCGAAAGATGGGCGATGCGAATCGTTCCATCCGCTACTTGGCAGAGACGAACGTGCAGTTTTGGGCTGATGCCTTTGCTCGTTGATAGATGTACAGGTGACGCCTCATTCTGAGGTTGGAATGCTAAGTGATGTTCGGCTCTAAATTGGCCACTGCATCATGCCACACTTCCCCCAAAGGCATCTCGTTTGAAGATTGGCCAGTGAATTGGCAGTGTCCTGGGGTCCTTTGTGCGGTTTGCACCAGTGACCACCAGGCCCGCCGGGTAAAGTACACAGTACACCTTCAAAGAATGCAGATGTGACGACAAGAGATGCCTTGGCCACAACAACTTGGCATTAGCCAATTGCGGCCCCGCATTTCAATGGGAAGATGCCAGGACGCTCACATTTCCCTGAGGTGCCACAGGGATGAACCCCGAGTCTTCCCGCGGGCATACACTCTTCATCGTGCGCTTCAGGAAGGAGGTGGGCGAGACGGACGTGTAGAAGCACAGTCAAGTTCATGTTCGATGGGGATGACCTTCAACGCTCATTGTGTGGGTGTGGCTCAAAGTTTAAGAGCTAGGGTTTCGCAGGTTTGAGTCTTTGGTTCCATTTACCAAGGTGCCAGTTTACATGTTTTTGAGCCACAGCTGTGTTCGATTGATCAACTGATTTCCACGTCCACCATCCCATTTCTTTCGACCCGAGAGTGCTGACGATTTTCTCCTGCTTTGGATTGGTGGGAGCAGCCCGGCACGGAGCGGCAACGAACCCTGGTTTTTGCGAGCCAACAAATCGCTCCCCGGATAGCCTGTCAAAACCAACAACCTGATGATTTGGGACCTTGCTTTGGGCCACCCCCCGACCACTACTTCTCAGAAGGCCGTTTTGCCAAGAGCTCCATAATTCACTCCTAGTGGTTGAGGTGCGCAACTCTAGCCATAATCGAGTTGTCCAATAATGCGGTTTATTTGCTTGCTTGCCTGCCTGCCTGCCTGTTTGCCTGCCTGCCTTCTTGTTGTGTGGCTTGTGTGGGCTGCTCTGGCTTATTTCCATTTGCCTATGGGTCAAAATTCAGTCAGGGGACCAGGGCACCGCAGGTTTTTGTCCTTCTTTCCATTTTACAAAGGTTCCCTTTCGAGGTTCGCCTCCCACCCTTTTCACATGGAACCTGACAGGGACCCCTTCCCTTCAACTTTTTCCAAACCAGCACCCCCCGAACGTCAGGTTCCACGTGAAAAGGGTGGGCGGGTTGCCGTTCTTGTTGACCCTCCCCAACATGGTGCTGGAAAACCCCAGGACCCCCCAAACGTCAGAACTGTTCCATGCAAGTTGGTGAGAAGGCCTCGATTTTTGGACCCCCCTCGCGCCTTTTTTTGGTCATGCGACAGGTGAAGCGCGGCGGCTGGGTGGAGGAGTTCCGCTCCAAGCTGTGCCTGGTGGACCTGGCGGGCAGCGAGCGCGCCCACGACACAGGCGGGGATTCGTTGACGGATTGGGCGGGGAGGCATTTGGGTGGGGTATGTGTTGAAGACCCCCGTAGCAGGCTCAAAATCAAGATAGACTAACCCTATTTTTTGTCTGATAAAATTGGGGGGGGGGGTATTTTCGTGGGAACCTGGAGTCTCCCTAAGCACCCTCAAAAAATGGGGTCATGACGCAAAATAATGGGCTGAGAGGGAAACAACAAGGAAACCAATCATGTTTCTTATGTTGATATATAATATTGATTTCGCAACCTGGCAAAACATGGCTGAGTCCAGTCTCATTTTGACCCAGCATAGCAACTCGGTTTGAGCTAATACTTTCATGCGCGCAACTTTGCGATAGGAGTCAGCAAGTCGTGTAATCAGGAAGACTGGCTTATAGCGCATGTGCCTCAAATTCGTCTTGATTGGCAGTTCCCGATGCGGATCTCCCGTGCTTTGGCTCTCAGGCTTTTGGGCTGTTGCAGGGGGACAAGTCACATATTCGCCATAGCTTGCCGGTGCACTTGGTGTTCTGGCTTTAGTGGCATGTGGGTTAACATATGTGTAAGCCCAGTGACTCCCGTAGACTCTTGGATTCCACGACATTCCGCGCTCGGATGGAGTGAATCCGAGGCCTCACCGGTGTTGGGCTCGAGGAGGGCATCGCCATCAACCAGTCGCTGTCGTCCCTGGGGCAGTGCCTCTCGGATCCCCCGAGCGCCAGTGCTCGGGCAGCCGGGCGGGGGGGTTTCGGGGGGTGGCCTGCGCCAACTCTCGGCAAAGCCGAGCTTTGGACAAATCGGCGTTCGGGGTGTTGCCATGCTGGTCCAACAGTGCGAGCCTCTTTTTTTTTCAGGCCAACCCCGTTTTGCCAGGCCCTTTGGAAATTCAGGCTACCGCTTTCTTGCAAGTCTCCCCGGTGACTGGAAACGTGCCCAAAAAAACCCTGGTGACCTGCCAGCCTGCAAGCTAGTGCAGGTATGCGTCACGTGTGTCCAGCCTTTAAAGGTTCAACGAAAGCCAACCAACCAGCAACCAACGACTTGAAAAGGTGCTTGTGGGGCCATGACATGTCAAGATCTTTGTCCTGCCTTTGCATCAAATGATCGCATCTGAAGTGGGACAGTTGTAGATTTTTTCTGTAGGTACCCGTTGGGCTGACACGTCGACATAGTCAGGGCGAGTGGAAGGAATCGACAGGGTCAAAGGAAGAGAGCTCACCAAACTTGGCTTTGCCCTAAACCAACGGAAGTGTTTTTTCGAATTTCAATCAAGGTGTTCCCAAGCACTCGGTTCATTGCACCATTGCGTTTTGCCGCCTGAGCCATGGAGGCCAACGTGAGCCCCGTGTTGCATGAGCCAAGGCCTGGTGCAGCTCTGCAAGGGCGAGCGAGCAACTTGCCTTCGAGGGCGGAGGTTAGATGCGGATAGATGGTTTGGGGTACATGTCATAAACAAACAAATGAAACAATATGTGTGTGTGTGTCAGACCAAATGAATCAATGTGTGTGTGCTGCTTGGAGGCAATGAGGGACTGGAAAATGACTTGGTCCATTGACAGCCCCCATGCCCAGCCAAAAGCTCCCACCATGGCCAGATGTGTTCTAGGAGGTGATGGAGCTGCTCACTTCTTGTAGTTAGCGGGTGCATGTAGCCACTGGGTCTTTGTTTCTTTCAATTTGGCTGTTCAAAACTCAAGAGCTAGGGCAAACCGCAGGTTTTCGTTTTTGGTTCCATGACGTTCCATGTAGCAAGGGGGCCATTTTGGTACATCTATGGGCCACAGCTTTTGATTCGCTCCGAGGTCAACCATAGCGACAAGCTCACCAAGCTCTTGGCTGAAAGCTTGGGCGGCAACGCTGTGACGGCCCGGGCCCCTGCTTATGCCTGCTGGACGTGGATGCTTGGGGTGGTGACCTTGGGAGGTGGACATTCTTATAGGTAAAGGCTGCATTTGCTTTGAACCTGGTAGTCCTCCCCCAAATAACTCAAGAGCAGTCTTTGAACGCAAGGTTCTGGGTTGCCAATGGGAATTAAATAAAGCAGTAGGAGACAACAACTCAACACTGGCCCTTCAGCGAGCACAGTTTTTGTATAGACTTGTCTTGACACTGTATTGGTTTGTTTTAAGGCAAGGGGGGAGCGGGTAAAAAATCGCATTTGATTTGACCTAGAAGCAGCCACCAACAATGAACAGCTCTTCTTGTTGTCCACCATGCTACATAGCCCAAGCAGTAACCAGCGCATCCGCTTTGTTTAGCAACTACAGGATTCCCTGCCATTTTGCTCTCTTTAGCTTGTCCTTCCCAAAGTTAGGCGCATGAGCTGCGAGGTGATGATTGCTGCGCTTTCTCCTGCGGACATCAACTACAACGACACGCTATCCACGTGCCGTACTTGGAGAGGTTGAAGAGCTTAGATGATTAAGTGGCTGTGCTCTAGTAGTTGCACCCCGCATGAGCATCTGCTTTGGGCAAAAGTTATTGCCATGGCTTTTTATGGCTTGGACTTTTTTGCAAAAACTGGTGTTTGTTGTGCCTGGAACTCATTGAAGCTTGACGCAAGTTGGCTAGCCTGGCACAGCAACCTTCCGCACGGAAAATCAAGATTCACAATCACATGAGAGTGGCATGGAAAGCTGTGGGTGGCTTGTTTTCAGTTTGTTTCCTCGCCTCAGTCTCTTCGAGCTCCGAACGCAACGAAGCATTTCAATCGCAGCTGGGGCGATGGATGGGTGTCCAGATCGATTTCTTTGTCTGACAATTATTCCAGTTTGTTCTGCAGGCTGCGCTTCGCAGACAACGCCAAGAAGATGCCGGTGAAGGCGGGGAATGGTTCCATCCTTGTCAAGACCAGACCTTGACTGCCGATGGCAGTTGTTTTGTGTTTTGCGCATGAAGCTTCATGAGGTTGGCATTTTAGACTTGGGGAAGTTGCTTCTACCCTTTGGCCCAAGAAAGGCAACTTTGAACGATGAGGAAAGCTATGCCCTTGAGGGTTTGCAGCACCCCATTTGGCATGTCGTGCAACCTGATAGCGTCACACAAACGAGGCGGTCAGTGCTGTGATTTCCAAACATGATGCTAGCGAGGAAGCAGCATCCCCTGCATTGGTTCAAAGGTGGGTTGGCTTTCTTGAAATAAAACATGGGAATCAACTGCTTGACGTGCTAATGCCGGTTGTCACTTCTTTGGTCGCTGGTTGGGAAAGACAG